CTACAAAAACTAAAATAAAGAATAATTGTTCTATTGCCAGTAAAGGAGAAGCAAAGAAGCGGCACGGTGGAGCCACATCAACTCCTCAAAAGTCTACAATACCAGCACACAAACGTTTGAAAATTTTAGTAAGTCTGCTTGTACAGCCCCACTCTGTAAATATTTCTTGTTTTAATAGATTTTTACTGTTAGAGCCCCCCTATATATTGTCAGCCTGCTTACTTTATTCACAACCCAAATGTCATGAATCATAATTTCATTTCATTTGGCATGTCTTTCACTGGAATGCATATTGAAGATCTTTTTTTTGTTAGTCAAGTACACCACTTGATAAACATAGCAGGCGCTCACTCACCGATCAACCAAAGTGAGCTCTTTGTCTCACATTTTATTGCAAAACATTAATTATATTGGTCTAGTATCTTCTGAAAGAAAATTAAAATCAACTGAAAAAGTGACTAAACAGTGGGGTCCAATGAATACTTTGCTGAAATGCTAGAACGGATAAGGAACATGGACAATATATCAAAAATAATAATGCTATACTTGAATCATATGACAATCTTACTGGCTGGTAAGGAATCCTGAACTCTGAAGCTGACATTGTCTTCTCAAAATAGCTGACTTATGAACAACTCAGGATGATCTGTCCCACCAACGAGTTGATGTTTCTTAAGCGGCTGATGCAATGTACAGTGTTACTCGTAATAAATCCATGAGACTTGTTAATGACAATTACAAAATAAATAGCATGATATAGCACCATAATTTGGAAGGAATCACTAATTTGTCGAGTTTTTGGATAAAGACGTCTCTCTATCAGAGCTACAGTTAAACGTTTTCTGATTGTATTCATCCTATATACCTTTTTTTAAGATAAACTCATCCTATATACCTAAATAGTTCATTTCCACTACCTCTAATATCTTAACATGCACACATGCCAGCTCATCAAAGGCCCACCACAACATGTATGGGGAAAAAATTCCATTATTGGTTGATCCCATGCACACATCCCACCTCACCACACATGTCACCTCATCAAAGGTCCACTCAACATGCATGAGAAAAAAAATCATTGTATTATGCTATCAATATATGTTTTGACTACACAGTAATCAAATAGAATATATAAGATGTGTTTTAGTTTTAGTTCATATGTTCTTAATTCAGCTACTCATGTTTCATAAAATTAAATCACTCAAAATATGTTGGAATCGATTCCCGCAGTAACGTGCGGGGTATTATCTAGTTAACTTAACTTTGTGCATGCCGATTACATTGTATCCCCGCCGCCGCCCCCTCCTCCTTCCTCCTCCCTCGCCGCCGCCCGGGGGCGCGACCAGGCAAAGCCCTGCCGTCGCTGGCCGCGGCGGGGCCCTGTGTCTTCTCGCTCAGGTGGTGCTGGTGCGGGCCGGTGTCCCGAGCCGGAACGTGGCGTTGCAGCCGGGCTCCACGACGGCATGACGGGCAGATGCGGCGCCCGGGCATCCCTACCTCCCCGCGGCGGGTGGCGCACCTGGGGTGCTAGAGACGGCGGCGGCGTGGTCCGGTGCGACCCAGGCTGCTGGTGGCCGCCTTTGCCGTGGCCGCGGCGGATGGTGGTGGCCCAGCGGCAGTGGGTGGTGGTGGTGCCGGCCGAGGTTGGGGATGGTGGCCGCGACGGCTCGGCCAAATCTGACCTCGCGGTGCCGCGGGCAGCTGCCTTGACCGGGGCCCTCTCGGCTGGTCGGGGTGGCGGCGTAGTGGCGGTGGTTCGACCCCCTCCTCCTGATTCATGGGGCGCTCGGCTCTGCCGTTGGCAGCGCATCCGACGGGTGGAGTACGACGGTTCAGTGCTTCTCGCCTTTGGCTGGCCTCGGTGATAGGGGCACTCTGGGGGATTGGCAGGGGTGCCTCCGGGTCTTGCTGTTGCCAGAGGTGGCGACGGTGACCTGGACCCAGTTCGAGAAATGGCGTGGCGGCTGCGGCGTGGCCGACAGCCGCCGGTGGCCTCCCCCCGCACTGCTCCGGCCGGCGGGGTTCCGAACTTACCAAAAGGGCATGCTTTTCTGGCCTCAACGTCGGTGATCCATGTTGATGGGAGTGGGGTGGTCTTCGCTGTCGGGACGTCAGCTTTGGTGGTGGGAGCGCGGGGAGCTCATGCTCAGGTGCTACCTGATTGCCATGACCGTGTGGGCGGCGTGGCGACCGGGGGGTGACGATCGGTGGCGGTGGTGTGGCATTCATACTGCCAAGGGCAATAAGTGTGGGCCGGGGTGAAAATATGTTCTGTCTTCTGGCACGCCGGAGGCAGCGATGTTCGTTCCCTTCTTGAAGGCATCACCGCAGTACTCATTGCCCGTCATGTTGCTCTAGGGAAAACCCTGATCCTCGGTTTGGGCGGTGGGGCACTCTAGTGTCGTATCCTTCCTTAAGGCACCGCTTTGGAGCTCACAGGTCGTCGTATGCAGCTTCGTCTCTTCGCAATGGCGTGTTCACGGTTAAGGACCTCGGTAGCTCTTGTAGTGGTATGGGTGGTGTTGCTGCGCTCAGCGCCGATGTATCCGCCTTGGGTGTGTGCATGTGTTGGGGTGGCGTGAGTTTGTATCGAGCTGTTGATGGTTGATGCTTAATATATAAAGCAAGGCAAAAGCCTTTTTCGGTAATACTAGTTCAATCTATGTACAAGTCATAAAGTCATAATAATCGTGAGCTAAGCCAAGAGAAAATGTGATAGATATTCCGAAATACGGTGTGTGCCCAGGACCCTGAAGGCAGTGGTTGGCAAGAATATGGATGTACCAGTAGAAACTGAAGCCCGGAAACTTTTAATTTCTCTTCAAGAGTTGGAGTTGGTTTCCACATCCACCATAAGTATCAGCTTGAGATATGTAAGCCATTGGCTGGACCTGGGGAGTTATACAGCAGAGGCAAAATCACGAGACATAAGTAAGATTTGATATAGCATGGAGACAATCATACAATGTATAGAAGTTTGATGCTGGTAAGTAAGATGAATACAGTACTAGTATTACTGTCGGCAGGTACCCTGCAAGCAGATGCAAGATTATTCAGACAAAGATGCACATGCACCGATGGCAGGAGCTACTGTACATGCCAATGAGTTATGGCCGAAAGCAGAATGCATGCGGGAAAAAGGCATGCAAGGCCAGGCCAATTGACAGGACTGAAACCTGAAACCAAACTTCCTCCATGCACCGGGACCAGAGAAACGAAGGCGCATTGTCGAAACAAAACAAAACAAAAGAGGAGGCAGAATCAAATGCGCGGATTCAGATAGACAAGAGACCAATTCGGATGAACAAATCGATTTGAGCATTTGCATTTTTCACAAGTCAGACATCTGAAATCGCAGGAGGGAGGGAGACAATCGTCCCAGCACGGCGCAGCCGCGAAAGCAAGCGGGGAGGAAGGGATCTAGAGGGGCGCGGAGCGGGCAAGGGGACGCGAACCGGGGCAATGCGGCTCCTCTGTCTAGCTAGAAAAATGGGGGCAACGCAACAGGGGAAAAAACCGAGCGTTCGCCCAGACAGAAAAATGCACCGGTGAAGGAGGAGCATCGACGGAGGCGGCAAGGCAATGCGGGGCTCACCTGCGGCCGCAACGCGATCGGGAAGTCAATCTCACAGCGGCGGGCACGCCATCGATCCCACCTCCTCCTCCTCCTCCCCCCTTATCTCTCTCCCCCTTCTCCCTCTCTCTCCCGTTCTATTTTTCTCCCGTCTCTTCCCTCTCGCCCGCACTTTCTCCGGGGACTTGTTTTGGAACGGGGGCGCCCAACGAAATAGACGTGTCACTGCAGGGTGGGGCCTTATCCCGCCGGGCCCACACGCCAGGGCATCGCCCCGGTCCCATTCCTTTCCGCCGTTCCTTTCCCCGAGCGAGACGGGGGCTCGCGGACGGGGTCAAGCGATCCGGGCCGTCCGCCCGGCGCCCGGGGATACGTGGCGGAGGATGACGGTACACCGAGGGGGAGAGGATGCTTCTGCTCTGCGCGATGAGGGCGGGCGGGCGGGCGGAGTGGTGGGAAGCATGTCGTTAACGGGAGGACAGGCTCTGCCGCGGGGCCCACCGGCAGCAGTATCTAGTAGTAGGAGTAGTAGGCCCTTGTGCTTGGAAATTTTGTTTTCTTCTTCCTTTTGTCCTTGGGCATGGAGCCCACCCGACCCGGATGCCACGCCCTTTCCGCCCGTGCTCACGTGTCCTCTGCACTTGTCATCGATCACCAATGATCAATCTACTAGGATTCTCGAGTGATTTCATTTCAGAGCGAAAGAGCATCACGATCAGTTGGGGAACGAATGAGCTACCCCAGCCAACCAGACACAGTTGTATGCTATTATTACTACCCCATCAACGTGAGATTGTTAAGAATTAACAGCGTCTGATGGCCTTGGGATATTGGTGCCGATACATAGTAGTAGTACATGGCAACGATACTCCACAGGATCCAATGCAATGGCAGAGATACTGATCGTGGAGTCCTAGATAAGCCAACTCCTACTATCTCCATAGGAGCCATGTGCGAAAGAACCCGGACCCCCTTCACGGTCGCACAGTACTCCAAAGACCCTTTTGATCTCGCCAAAAAGAAAGTACTCACAAGGCCCACGTACAGACAGTCACCCGTGAGGAAACAGGCAATGCAAGATATCTGCCCGTACATGCGTGACAAACAGCATGGGCGGGGACGAAGATTTGCGCCGCCGACTGGCCCACCAAACCCCCAAGTCCAAGACCAAGGGTGTATAATTCCCTCATCAGGATCATGCCAGATGAAGCAACAGCAAACACACATTCCGTTAAGAGACTTGCTACAAAGCGCACCGTTTCAAGTGCAGAAACAGAACTGCTACAAAGCGCACCGTTTCAAGTGCAGAAACAGAAGCGCTGATTTGTCGCATAAAACTCATGCCGTTGTAACAGCGACACGTGGTCCTCCTTTGTCGACGGCATTGACGGCTCGCAGCTAACACACTGACACAGTGTTTCCGCTCTCAGCTGTTACCGCTTGGTTCATCGTCCTCGTCGAGGTTGATGCCAGAGATGCTCATCTTCCCTGTGTTTACTGCAGTGCAAAGGCAGAACGAATGAGCTAACAGGACAGACATCAGGAATCCACACACAGTTGTTTATAGTGCAGACTAGCTAGCAGATTGAAATACTGGGCCAGCCTATTGGTGCTCAGAGCTCACTATCCATGCTTACTAATGCCATCCACTATGGATAGAATCGTGATCAAGGCTTCTTGTTCATTCACGCAGAAATTTTAGTACTCCATGCTTACCAACTGCGTCCAGTCCGCAAAGATTTGGCATATACTTGCTAATATGTTCTTCAGCGGCTTTATCGGCCTTCAGCGTCTCGCATTCGAAAGAGACCAAGACTTTCTTATTCCCATGTTTCTTTTGAACCAATCCAACAACGTCATCTTCCCATCTGCAAGAGATAATGTTTGCATAAGGAGAACAGCACAAAACAACATTATAAAACACTAACTAATACTAGTACAACCTCTGTAAACTAATATAAGACTTTTTAGATCACTACTTCACAGTCCAGAGGGAGTACTTCACAGCATCAGGAGCACTATCCTTCACCAACTAGTGCAAGTAATCTTTTATCAAGCAAGACAGTAAATTCTAAACAATCAAGAATCAAATTCCAACCATATGTGTTACGTACTCCCTCCGTCCGGGTTTATTAGGCCTAAAGACAACTTCTCTTATACCAAGACATATAGTAATTTGCTCACATTAATTCTTCCATTCCACTCCCAATGCACTCTCTCACATGCATGCAACCAATGAAAAAGCACACATGAAGTGTATTAATTTTTCAGCCATGACACCAACAACAATGACTTTCAATGCAACCAATGAAATGGTTGCATGCATGCACCTTTCCAAAGCGAGGCCTTATAAAAAGGGACATGCTTGTGATGCTAAGAGGCCTAATAACCCGGACGGAGGGAGTAGATATAGTTCATAACCCATGCAGCATCAATTTAAGAACAGGATCCACATAATCTCTCAAGTAGGTAGTTTTATCCTTTAAACTTGGAAGCGTCCAGCAATAAGGTAGTTTATCCTTTAAGCTATGATGAGTCCATATATGGTAAGATTGAGAGTTCAAGTCTAGATCTGACTTGTGGATCAAGTCGACCAAAATAATAGGACTGTAATCTACTCTCTGACGTAAGCAGGAGAATAGACGAATAGTTCGTCTACTTTGCCTCCCGGGGCAACAGCCCCTCCTGTACCTCTCCTCAAAACCCAAGTTCATAACAATACACTTGAGAGTTGAACATGAAATCATTAACACAATGAAACATCACATCTAACAGCCTAAGGCTACTTTGTTCAAAGAAAAAACATTGAACACCCCATAAGTTGGCCTTCATAGAAAAAAAGGGGAGGGACTTGAATTTGTATATAGTAAAGAGGGACTAAAGCATTAATTACTCAATAAAGGACTAAATAGTTGCAGATAAGGCTTGATTTATGGCTGCTTAGTGTCATGATGAAGAAGTAAACTTGTCGCCATGCCGGTCATGACTCATGATACATTTGACAATACCAAACCATCTAGACTGCACCAAAATTTTGGATACCCAAAATCCAAAATTTTGGTCGGGCAAACCTACTAAACACATCCTGAACATTTATAAATCATGGCAAAGAGATACTACAGAGGTATGCAACTCCGTGCCAGTGAGGCAAGGTAATTTTCACAGTATCACAAAATAAGACAATGATAAATTAAATTGTGTTTTGGCCTTAATTAATCACTTGCGAATAGAGATACACAAAATAGCGTACAAGGACCAATAATCCAATATAGGAGTACCCTGTTTCATCGGATTATTCCCATTCATTTAATAAATGCACTTCTTGAAAACATAATCCATTACAACAACTTCAGATAGTATAGTGCTTTCAAAACACAGTTATGGTACAGTGTTTTGATATAGCCTGAGAAAGGATATGACGTACATGCAGCTAAACTTGATGGGCATGAGCATCAGCAAATCACGCCACACCGTTTTTGCAAACAGTAAATTCAACAACATTAAATTTTGTTCTGACGAAATCCACCCATGAGTGAAGACTTACCCATGCAAATGGTCAATGTTTTGTAATCGAGCAGCATCATGCCCCCTGCATTCCACCACAACCACCTTCTCTGTCTTCCTCTGTCACATGAGCATAGGTTAACCTCTACCACACAGACTACAAATTATATAAGAATAAGAGATAACTGAGTTTTTAGGATATCTGTAGGTAACTTCTGATAGATCCAAGATAAGCCGAGGTAGTATCATTTTAGAAAGGAAGGTAAGCTAAGATAGTAAGATAATCTGTCAGTAGAATACATACTTGGTGGAGAAGAACATAACAGATGTCTGACCTTAAAATTAATGATGGAGAGCTTTATAAGGCGGTAATCATCTCCTCGGCTACATTCCCTCTCGCATGGTATCGCTTACATGATACAAAAGGAAAAGAAACTGCAATATAAGCTAAAGTTACCTTCTCTTCTGTGTAATAAATAGTAAAGAGTAAACACAAATATGGTGCACAGTTGCAAAAGACAACGGAAGCCGAGTAGAAGCACAGAAATTCACTTGTATAATTAAGAACAATATCATATCAACTGTGCATCATTCTTCAGATAGAGAAAAAGAACAAAAATGCTTACTTCCTAATGTAACAGGTTATGGCATATTACACAGCACCGGAATACTTTTATGCTAGCAATCTAGCAGAACTTACAATTCAGTTCGAAATAAAGATAAACTTCTACACAGATAAACCCTAATAATATATCGCTACCACTTGTGCTGAACAAAGGGGGGTTTTGGTGGCAACACAAACGATTGAAGCGAGATGCAGTTGGAGCCCAGCCACACAATGCCCGCGTATAGGAATTAGGGGTCAATCGATAAACAAGTACAAGAAGGGTGAACGAAGAGAGATGTGTACGGGTGCCCTGGAGGCCGTAGCAGGCGGAGTCCGGAAGGCGGATGAAGTGGCCGGAGATGGCGCCAGAGGGCAGCAGCGCTATGGACGCGACGCCCTCCATCTTCTCGCCAGTATCTCCCTCCTCGACTTGCGCCCCAGCATCCTCCGCCTCCGCCGGCGGCGGCTGACGGTCGCCATTCGCCTGCGAGTCCGACAGAGAGCCCATCGTTCACACCTCGCCCAAGAGCCGAGTGCGCCTCCTAGGAGCGAAAGCGGAAACCAACGGATGTTTTGCACATAACCCCGCCAACTGCAGTTTTCTTTGCCGCAGGTCCCCGAGGCTTTACTAGGACAAGGGGTATCTACGGAATAAGCTTCATAGTAAAGGGTGCATTTGCGAATCTACCATAGCAAGCAAACCTCGACTTGTGCTACCTGCTACGCGGCTCTCCCAAAATCCCCAAAGCCCTCGTCCCCCAAAGCCAGATTTCTTCTCCAGCCTTCATCGCGCGAGAGGCGTCCATGGCGGCGGCGGGCCCAGCCAAAACGGAGGTGCTGTCCCTCTTCCGCGCCTTCCTCCGCACGGCGAGGCAGTTCTCCGACTACAACATCCGCGAGTACACGCGGCGCCGCGCGGCGGACGCCTTCCGCGAGAACCGCGCCCTCGCCGACGCGCCGGCCGCGGCGGCGGCCTTCGCGGACGGGAAGCAGCAGCTGGAGGTGGCCAAGAGGCAAGTGCTGGTGTACTCTCTGTACGCGCCCAAGGCCAAGAGCGTTGTGGAGATGAAGATTCAGTGAGCGACACCAGAGAGAGGTTTCACGCCCGCCATCTCCTCCTTTTCCTCCTTTCGGGTCTGTGCTCTTTTATGTACTGTCATAGTAGGGTTACGTCGATCTGATGCTAATAGAATTTTGCCATTACTATGTTTGCTGGATAATTGCCCTGATACGGTGGTTGCTATTGTTCAATAAGTTCGCAAATTAATGATCATGATACTATGTGTTTCGCATACCGATTTTACATGTGAAATTAACTACCTGATTGTGGCTTTAGAATTATCGTATAGTCTTGCCCTGGTGTTCTTGCAGTGGTGCTACCTTTGGCTATTACTACATCCCAGTAGCATTCGTGCGCTACTCCATACTTGTCTTGCTGACCATGATCAAATGTGTGGAAGAATTATTAAGGGTGTATTGAAGTCAATCGTGTTACCCATCAACTGTTTGACGAAATGTTGAAAGCGCGCATCCTCAGTTACAAGGCCAAACCAGATCAGGTTTTGCACGACATAAGTTGTTGTGAGAAATGAAATAGACTGGCTATGCACCGAGTAGTATTTACCAGAATGTCCTGATCCGTTCAAGAAAAGGATAACATTGCAAGGCACGAGTCATAATGTATACAACTTATTACTTATTAGTTCAATAACACAAACTGCATATGGCAAATAGCCATTAATAAAACTACAAAAGAAAAATCATGGATCTATTCTTGGCTAGCTGAAGACAAGCAAGGTACTATAAAACTTAGTATCGAAATCAGAGGAGGTCTTCTCATACTGTCACAATATGGTGAAGCATTGCCACACTGAGACTATATGGGGTAAATATGAATCTTACTAAGAATGCGGAGAGCACACATTGAAGCATTCTGTATTGATTTAATGGTTGCTTCTTGCTTGCCAATCAGGATGCCAGCTTGGGAAGCTGGCACAAGTAGCTGTGTTGGCCCTGCAGGACCAGCACCTTGCTGAGGCTGGTGGTTTCAGTGTCTAAACCATCTGTTATTCTTTTATGTACTCTGCACAAACCATCAACAGCTGGAGGAACCAGTTCATCTGGCTCATCCATTGCTGGAATCATTACCTTTAAACAGGAAAATAGTGTCTAATACAGGAAATTTAAGTACTAGAAATATGCATGAGCACTGAGGAGACAATACGTCATTGTAAGTATAGAACATATATTTTCATCCTACACTAGTTTGGTGAAATGACCGCAATGCTTACAACTACCACTGCTGCCCCAAGGCCAATAATTATTGAAATGCCGCATACTGGTAAACAAACAGAAAGGCATCCATATGGTACACCTACCACACCGGATTCGGCCTAGGCAAGAACAACTTATGTCCAGCTGGGAAGGTTTCAGAATATCAGTACTTTCCTATTTTAGCACAATTTATCCAAGATGTGTTAATTAGGGCATGTTGGTTCATTCCTGTGCTGCACTCTGGAATGTGATACTCTTTCTGGTAATCTTTATGTTACATCTCAAGTACTCCCTCCGTCCCAAAATAAGTGTCTCAACAGTAATACAACTTTGTACTAAAGCTAGTAAAAAGTTTGAGACGCTTATTTTGGGACGGAGGCAGTAAATAAAATAAAACTGATGATTAAGGTTAGCATAATGCCAAACTATGTGCTTAGTGTGATTGCATCACTTCAGAGTTGTACCATTATACCTGATATAAGCTATAGAACTCTTAAATATAAATATTACAGAACGTGTTATATATGGTCTTTACTTGCTGTTGAAGGGCGTGCAGTTGTATATTTGATTTCAAAGATATCATCATTTTCTAAAAGAACCATCTAGGGTTTGATGAAAATGTCAGGATTATGCCTTTTCACACTATTTTAGCCCCGTTAAAACTTTGCTAAACTGATTTCCTTTTGGCCAAAATCAAACGAGTGATGGAATAATCAACTTCTTGACAGGCATCTTCATCCAATACTCAAAAGACTGAAAGTCGTATTTGCATCAAAGGAGTGCAAAAGCAAACTCTGTTAACCATGACTGTTCATCTATTTTTTGGATACAAAAAGGGATTTGACTTGAGGCCTTAGACTGCAGTGAGAGCTTGGAAATATTAGTTTTCTACGGTTATCGTCACCATTGTGTTCTCCACAAATGTCATTCCATGAATAGTTTGCTCTTTACAGGTTCTATACTTGTACAGAAACTTCTGTGAATAGTGGTATGAATATCAATCTATCGTATGTTGCCCTGTTGTTGTATACAATTGTGTATGCCGACAAATTTGATTTTGATTTGCATTTGCACATCAGCTACCGAACTGACCAAATATCAGTATTCACGCTGGTAACTGATCAGCTCTTTTGGTAGCAAGAAAATCCAAAATCACCCACAAGAAAATCCAAATGCGGGCCTTGCAGGGCTTTTTCTTGCCATGATCTTTGCAGCGCACCTTTTACTGGCTTATTTCCCCTTCCATATTTTCGCCCCTGTGCATTTTTGTTGGGCCAGGTTTGACCATCTTTGCTTTTTGTACTGATCTTGTCGAGTAAATATTTGTTGGTTTGCTAGCAATTATACCTGGTCCACATAATGTTTACAAAAATACTTGCACAGCATAACATTAAGGATAGGTTGGATAACGTAGTGGTATGGTGGTTACTTAAAGCAACATCATCAAATCAAGGTGATGAACGGCGATGACCAAGCAACGGACAGGTGACCATGAGGTCCATGACTGTTAAGCAATGTGGTTTTATTGTAGCATTGGCCACTAGGGTCGGCCATGAGATACAGCTGATTTACATTTCTTTTTAGACGATAGTACAATTGACTGGACTAGCAGATAGTTTAAAAGTACCCATGTGTGTATTCATGTCTATTCACAATTTGGTGGGTGCACATGGACAAATGGCATTTGTCCTGCCCATATCGTTACATTTTTAGCCGGATGCAGAGGTCACCATCTCAGTTCTCATGCGCACCCAAGGCGCCACCACCTTCGGTTACGCCGGCCTGTAACCTCATCATCTGATCCGTCAGAATTGGTAACGATGTGCACATTCTCGTCGCTCTCCAGCCCGGGTGTGTTTGTTCCGTGTGAGCGAGGATGTTCATTGTCCGACTCTGAACCTTCATCCATGTCGTCCTGGCATGACATTTGGCCGAGGAGCTCCTGACTGTCTGGAACATTGTTGTTGCCTTCGTCAGTTGCTTCTTGGAGCCGACAGAAATCCAACAAGATATCACTGCCATCCTCCGTTGCTTCTGGAAGCTCAGAGAAGTCCACCAAGATGTTGTTCTCGGCGGCGATCTCTTTTGTCAATTTCTTCTTCAGTTCCATGCTCGTTGTGTTTCCGGACAGCTTCCAGACCAACTGCAATGGCAACACAAACAACGCATGTGAACTCCCCGCCCGCAGTTCCTCTTTCCTTTTTCCACTGTGAATCAATGAGACCCGCTAGAAATGATCAAATGTACTATAGGAGTTCTTACGATGGGATCGACGATGCCGGTGCCCTCCTTGGCCGCGACAGCAAAGTCGCCGCCGAACTTGTCTGCGAGGATGGTACGGGCAAACAGCAGCTCCTGCAGGTCGCCGCACCACCCGGCGGCGAACATGATGCTGGCCGCCGCTTCCCGTAGCTCCTCGCCGCACTCCCTACGGCCCAAACAGAATAGCAATGTTTATTGTCCAATGGACATAGAGAACCAAAGATGAGAACAGGCGTGATGAGGCAGGCAGACATACTCCGGCTTGTCTAACTGCTCAGCCTGCTCGATGAGGCGCTTGCAGTAGAGCTCTATGATGCCGAACGCCTCCAGCATGTTGTCCTCCTGGATAACCTGCTCTGCCTGCGCGCAGAAACACCAGCATCAGTATGGCTGCATCGAAGGGTACCACCACGTCTCGCTTCATGTCGTCGGTACGCACGCGGTGGAGGGCGCGGTCAAGGTGGCCGAGGACGAGGAGCTGGCTGACATCGCTGCAGGCGATGGACCTGCGAGCAAGGCGCGGCTGGCGGGCGACGGCGATGCGGGAGACGGCGAGCCCCAGGAGGGACTTGAGCTTCGCTGTCTGCTTGGAGGTTTTGTGGAGGAATCCCATGGCCGGACGATGCTTTGCACGTTGGCCCGGCGGTGGGTGTTGGCTTTGCTCTTCTGTTATATTCGGTTGTATTGCTATTTGCCTAGAGCAGACGGCGTTTGGATGCTGATCTTGGTTGCATTGCTGGTCCTTTGCGTGGAGAGGAGGAGGGATATGATCAGATGGGTTGCTTGTGGGTGGACTCATGCTGAAGTCCGCCTTGGAGGGACAAGAATTTGTAGGCTCATGTGTTTCCAATCCTTGTAGGATTTAACATGCCATGACATCCAATTTATATGTCTTTCGCTAATGCTACAAATGTTTTTAAAATATTGCGAGCAAATGAGATCCTCGTTGGTTACCCTTAGGAGTCAACCCGGCAATTCGACCCATGGGTAGGCACGCCCATGGGCACCCGACCTGAATGGGTAGGGTATGGGTCTTCATGTGCGCCCATGGGTAATGTGACATCTATGTGACTCGGTGAAATTATGTAATTATTAACTAATTATTTAACATGTATGCACGAGGCACATAGAGAAACATAGAAAAAAATGTAGGATGAATGCATGGATCTATACATGCATGGGCCAAGCACGTAACACAGAACACACGAGAAAAATAATTGCCAACCGAAGAAGAAGAAGAATAGGTGCGTGAGGCTCATGCACAAGGAGAGAAGGACCTGGCCCATCCCTCAAAAATGAGAAGCGGCCGGCCCATGGTTTTGCCCGCGCAAAGCTAAAAGCACTTGGGCCATGTTCCACTTGACTCTGGCTCACCCATTCCAGTGCAGTATTGCAGTAGTGTTGATCGATAGTACCACCTCGCTTGTGGGAGTAGAAAACGAAGGGTTGGACACCTATATAAGACAACCACAGGGGAAGAGGAGGGGAGTCATGTTGTCTGCGTGGCTTGCTTCGGAACAAACGATACAAAAAAGGTTTTTTATTGCACTCACCCGATGAATGCCCAATTGGGTCGGGCGACCCGACGGGTTCAGGCATGGGTCTAACCTAAGGCCCATGGGTAGGGTCGTCGGTTTGGCTATGCACCCGATTGTGTTTCGGGCAAGGGTCTGGTTTAGGAAAACCCGACACGACTGCCACCTTGACTTAGAAGAGTGCATTTTGTTCCTTCAGAAAAAAAAAGAAAAAAAGAGGAGAGTGTATTTTGCGCGTACTTGAGTTTTATTACAAATACACTCTCCTAAATACTCCTTCCGTAAACTAATATAAAAGTGTTTAGATCACTATCTAAACACTTTTATATTGGTTTACGGGGGGAGTACTTGAGTGTATTTTGCGCACTCATTGGAAAGGGCTTTCGGCCCGGCTCCATTTGCTAATCAATGAAACCCGAACAAGGTCGGGGTACAGTTGTATTTTTATTACAAATTGCTAATCAATGAAACCCGAACAAGGTCGGGGTACAGTTGTATTTTTATTACAAATAATGCACGCAGAGGGAACAACAAACTCAGCTGCCTCAGCAAATGAAACTAGGAGAGACTCCCTAAACAGTTTAGAAAAGAGAAACAGCAAAGGCTAGAGAGAGGGGAAAAGCACAACACGCGCCTCATCTGAAGGCAATTAATAACAGGGCAGGGCACGGCGCCAAACTCCTCTTCCAGCCCACTCCTCCAGATTACTAATCAACGGGCAGCACACCTCGCGGAGAGAGGCCACATCTTCCAAGGATGAGCCCGGATTTGACCACAAGATGAGCGGGGGATCTCCTGCTGCCCGTTCTAGTCTCCTCACGCACTCTTTCATCTCCAACTTGGCAGCATCTAGCCAGAGCACCTCCCACATAGTAAGGATGCTGGCAGATTTCCTAACGATCACCTGCATCTCAGACCAAGCCGCCCGGTGGAAACAAATGTCATTTCTGCATTTCCAGAGAGCCTATAGGGGCAAAATTTCGTGTTATGACCCTTTTTACAAAGAAATTCAAGATCTGACCCCTGTCTGAAACTATTTCGGGATCTGACCCTTTTGACTACCGCCAGGAGGGCCGGCGGTAGGTTTGCACGTCCTACCGCCATCATCAGTGGCGGTAGGCCCTCTAACGGCGACTGACGGCCGTCGGCGCGTACTGACGGGGGAAGGGCCTACCGCCACAGCCTGAGGCGGTAGGGTTCGATGGCCTACCGCCCGAGGTGGTGGCGGTAGGTACCGAAGAGGCAAGTGATGTTGCGGGCGGGCCCTACCCCACCCACCAGCCCCTTCTTCCTCCTCCCCTCGACTCGAACAGAGTCGAGTGCCGCCTCTCTCCTCATCCCGATCCCCTCCCTCGATCTCCCTCTTCCCCCCACCATTTTCGCGGATCTTTGGGGCAAATCGAAGAGGCCGGTAAGCTCCTCCATTCCGTCCAATCAGTTTTCGCAATGGTTTTTTATTTTTGAAGTTATTTTTGGCACTAGGTGCAACCTAGGTTTTGGTGTTGATTTTTTTATGATGTTTTAGTTGTTTAGGAGTATATGATTTAGTAGTAGGCCTATGTGAGGATGTGTGGGTGAAACAATTGCAACATATGTGAGGATATGTTGGTGAATGCATATATGTTGGTCCATTTTATTTTGTGATGTATATATGAATTTTATAAGAAATCTTTCTGTATGTTGAATGCAAGATTGTGAGGATAAAGGCATAACAAAATTCGTAGATGGTTAATGTATTGCAAATTTGTGAAGATGTATGTTTTGCAAAATTGGTAGGTGGTTAATGCATAGTGTGAAAATGTGTATTTCTATTTCATATAGTTGCAAATGTATGAACCCTAGGTTTAGTCTTTCTTATAGCCATACGAGGAACCCTCTCTAGTTGATATGATGAACCCTAGAACCTAGATGAACCCTAGGTTTAGTCTTTTTTATAGCCATATGTGATGATTTATTGTGTGAATATTGTAGATATTCGTTTTGCTTGCATTAGAACAAATATTGATGTTTAATTAACTTTATCCAATCAATGCTTATATAAGGAACATGGCGCCACCACCACCAATTGACGAGGATGATGACTATGAAGACCCACTTGAGGAAGCCATCTGTGCTCAAAGAGTGAGGCTGAGCGAACGGGAGGTGTACAACCTATGGGACAACTTTCTGCCACGTGCTGAGTTGATCGGGGCGCCATTCGTGACCCGTCTGACAAGTACCATGATCGATTGACATGTCATGGTATGTTATTAGTGTAGAATCCACGGAATTGTTAATAGTTTAAATAATCCATACTTATCAATTGATATATTTTTCTTATTCAGAAATTGCCAAAGAGCCTATCTGAGAGTTGTGGCATCGAGGCTGATGAAGAAGGCTATGCTGAAATACGCCTTACCGCAAGGGGCCCCGTCACTACTTGTGCGTACGGCGTGGAAACGGACGGTCGCACACATTTAAGCACAGATGGGTGGAAGAACTTCCTCGTTGACAAGAATCTTCATGTTGGACAGGCCATCCTTATTACTATCAGGAAGACCAACCGTCAAGGCTTGAAGATGATGATCGTCATCGATATCATCTAAACTATATATGCGTGTGGATGCTGATGATCGTCATGTTTGATTGCTACCTATTTTGGCTTCGTGAAATTATTTGGATGTGATCAAACTATGTTATGTTTATGTCTATGAAATTGTGATCAAACTATGTTATGTTTATGTCTATGAAATTATGATCAAACTATGTTATTTGGTACTTGTTTCTTAATCTGTAATGGCGAAACTAATTATGCTTATGTCTATGAAATTGTGCCTATTGGTTCTTATGTTCAGGGCCCTTGCATATTTCTATGAAATTGTGATCACACTATTTGGATGTGATCAAACTTCTTATGTCTACAAAACTTTACACGAAACACAGGACCCTACCGCCAGGCTCCCTGGCGGTAGGGTCAGACAGCCTACCGCCATGAGCCCTGGCGGTAGGGTGAACCTACCGCCAGGACGCTTGCATATCTCGTTACAGAAGGCATGCACGGGAAAACCCTGCCACACCTTACCGCCAGATCCCCTGGCGGTAGGGTTAGACAGCTTACCGCCTGGTTGTCTGGCGGTAAGGTACTTATCCACGTCAGCGCGCGATGACGGCCCCCGTCTTGCTCCGTCACACCCTACCGCCAAGGTATCGGGCGATAGCCTGTCTAACCCTACCGCCAGGGGCTCTGGCGGTAGCAAAAGGGTCAAATCCCGAATTTTTTTCGAACGGGGGTCAGATCTTGATTTTGTTTGCAAAAAGGGTCAAAACATGAAATTCAGCCGCCTACAGGGCTGATGCTTGCACTATAGCAGCAGCAATGTTGGGGCTATGTTCCCAATAGTCAAGCATAGTAGGTATTTTTGTATGGTTAACACTACTAGTAAGCTCACCAACAACTCTCCAGAGCTCTACAGCAACATTAATAATCTTCCAACTCACTCAAATTAATAGTACTTGAGTTTGCCTCTTTGCGCGCCTTAAAATTCTTTAAAATCGTAATATGGGCATCATGTTATATATAACACGGGCACGCACAAAACAGTTCGAAGCAAGTATAGGATCAAGCATACCCTGCACAAAGAACGAAAATGTCCGACTTGCTTTTTAAACAAATATAACCCCCAACACTTGTCCTTTTTTGCACACATGGCAATTTTGATCATATTTATGCATGAACATTTCTGGCCGCACTAGTTTTAACAAACACACATCACATTATGCGTGTTGACGTTTTCTACCTTTTTAGCACTGTTTTTCATTTAATTGAGAGGAGTAAAAGAATGCATGATCAAAGTGAATATAACTAATATCACAATGAGAATAAGAAAAAACTAAATCTATTAGAAGGTGGGGAAAGGGAGGGGCCAAGATACTTGCAAGCTATCTACTACCTCTGTCCGGGTTTAAAAGGCCCCCGGACGGACAGAGCTAGTCCACTTTTACAAGGCCGACTAGACTTAAGTTGCTTGCTCAAAGGAGAATAAAGCGAAATTAGTTAATGCATGAATGCATGCCCGTCAGTGCATGTCCTATGAATGTCTTTTACTGGCCATGCATGCGCCGGCGCTGGTAACCGCAGTGGAGCCCTGGGATATTTGCTTTTAATACCCATGTTAACTACAACCATGCGGCAATGCATGCAGCCGCTTAAATATTGCGTGAAACCCGTTGCAGTTACCTTGGTATGAGAGGGGACTTTTAAACTCGTACGGAGGTACAATCAGGCTGGTTGTAACGGGGAGTATCATATAATAGTATCATGCATATGATACTAGTGTATAATACTACATCCGTAATGCATGGTATCATATGTTGATATCATACATGACTACATTTTATTGCCATGCATGACACAAAGTAGCACATTATTTAATATGATACGGTATCATGATATGATACTCAAGGCTCTCTTTCTTCATTTAATTCTATGCCACCTCATCAAAATTGCTTAGTTGGCATGCATGATACTACGTATGATACTCCCATTACAACCAGCCTCATAGATTTCACCGATTCAACCCGCATGGAGACGGCCTTAACCTTCTATCATCATGTAATCAAACACCCGTCACAGAGGGGGAGGGGTGTCGTATGTGAACGTGTTGATCCAAGATATTTTTAACTTACAAGATTTATATTTCCAACTGAGCGCGACAACTAAAGTAGATGCCAAAGAACTTTCAAATTTCATAATCGAAGTGTAAGAGTGAAATACAGTTGTGTCTCCTAGCCTATGCGTGTTCAAGTCTCGGCTCGGATGTTGTGTCTCACATTCTCCTCTTAATTAATAAAACCGTAGGAGCTTCTGGTCTAGTTTTAAAGAGTAAAATACAGATGTCTTCCCTTCTCTTGTACAGTGAGCCATAGTTCTTCATGACCATCCTCCGATACTAATTTTGAACCTACACATAGCAATTACATTTTGGGCCAGATGCAGATCGAGGAATGACTTTGTCTCCTCGTGCGCACTGAAAGCTATCGCCATCTTCGGCTTCAGCGGCCTATCATCCGATCCATAAGAGTAGAAAATGCTCGAGGCATTATCGGTGTCACTCTAGTCTAGTCCAAAGGCATTCATCCTGTCAAAAGCGACGACGGCCATCGTCAGGCTCTGGACTTGCACCCATGAGTCCAAACACGACAATCTCCTGACCGTGCGGAACAACGCCGCCATTGCTTATGGGGACTTGGACAAATCCACCGAGATATTGTTCTCGGCGGCGATCTCTTTGAGCACCTTCTTCTTCAGGCTAATGCTTGTCGTGTCTCCGGACAACTTCCACACCAGCTGCAATGGTAACACAAATCATGCATGTGACTGCTACCTTTCCTCTACAACTCCAAATCAATGGACGCCTAGAAATGAAGACTATAACTTTTACCATCGGCTCGACGACCGCGGTGCCCACCTTGGCGTCGGCAGTGATATCGTCGCCGAACTTGTCGACGAGGATGTTGCGGGCAGACTGTAGCTCCGGCAGGTCACTGCACCGCTTGGCAGCAAATACGAGTCCGGCAACTGCTTCCTTTACCTCCTCGCTGCATTCCCTGTACGCTAAACATATTAGTTTTCTTGCCCAAAACATTGACATTGAAGTGGATGATCTAAAAGCATTAACAAAAAGGAGAAGAAATTAAGAGATCAGATCAGGTGTGATCAAGAGACGTACTTGGGCTTGTCTAGCTGATCGGCTTTCTTGACAAGGCACTTGCAGTAGAGCTCTATGATGCCGAGCGCCTCCAACATGTTGTCCTCCTTTATGACCTGCTCTACCTGCTCAGAAGAAAAAGCCAGCATCAGTAAAAAAAAGGAAAAAGAAAATGTAAGATCTTTAGAAGAATAACATGTCAGATGCTTGGAGGCCATAGCTAGGCACGCACACGCTGGAGAGCGCGGTCGGTTTGGCCGAGGGAGAGGAGCTGGCAGACGTCGCCGGAGGCAATGGACTTGCGAGCAAGGCGCGGCTTGCGGGCGATGGCTACACGTGAGACGGTGAGCTCGAGAAGGGACTTGAGCTTGCGGGTCTGCTTGGAGAACTTCCTGAGGAATCCCATGACTGGTGATCTGGTCTTGCCGGAGTTCCTTGAGGTATTGGAGTTTTTGACCGGACCAACGATGCGCCTACCGGCGGTCGGCGGCGGTATCGTTGGTCCTTGGATGGGTGGTAGGGGGAGGAGGAGCTGAGTTATTCGGAGGAACAAAGGTTTTCTAGGGCAGTGTTTCTCTGTTTTTGGAAGTCTAATTTTAGTGCACAGGCTGTTGGTTCAGTTACATAAAACGAACTTCTTTCATATTTGGAACATGAGGGCTGGACGTGCACATAATAGGGAGCAAAACGTGTGAAGAAAGTTTTCTTAATAAAAGACTAGCAAAAGGGCCCATGCGTTGCAACGGGGTAATAAAATTGTGCCATTCAAATCAATCCATCGAGAACATAGACAACATTTGGTCAAAAGAAAGAACATAAATATCTAAATGAGTATATAAATAATATATAAATTCAAATCAAATGAAATCAGTGGCTGAGAGCACTTAAGAAATAGTTGTGCTAATATTACACATTTAGTAATTGACTACACACAAGCTTAGAGGCCACAATTTATTCTGAAACCCTTAGTTAAATTTAGCGATTAAACATCCATTATACAATGTGTAAATACAAACAATGATTATATTGCAAGAAACTACTATGTATTACTGGTAAAATCCAATAGCTTACTCAATCAAATGTTTGCCACTACTTTCCATCAGTTTTCATTAATCAAACAGTATAGCGTACAAACCCGACATCAAAAAATAATTCAAATCCCAAGCTAATCTGCTTCACTCTCTCCCGCTCTGCACTAATAATAAAGTGAAACTTCTTATGAAGCCAAATTGCATAGTCTGGCTTTTGAAAGGAAAATAAATGCACAATGACACACAACCTGGCAAACAAATAAAGATTAATTTGGTCAAAAGTAAGGTCAAATTTTGCATGACTCCGTAATATTATTCTTCATACACAATTAATATTTTACTCTAATGTGTTACAACACAACACTAAAGAACTCGCTTACACGACAACAGAACCATTAATAGTGATAGCAGAAGATCTTCAGTATTAAATATATGTGCACAATGATCATGTCACAAACATGCAGAAGATTGCTTGAGAAACTACATGTTGTAGATATTTGTCACACCCTAGCTAGTTCATGCATTAGAGTGTTGCATCATGTCTATTTCTTTCAACAGAAACTTGAAACGGGGATGACAGAACCCCCAGCCCCCTCTGAAACCAACTAGGGTTTACTAAAAATATTTTCAATGAACCTGAAATGCCCTTCTAAAATGTCCATCATTTTTGTTTTGGTTCAGAACCTCTGCCAAAAGTGGTGCACAATTTTCTAAGTCATCCTAAGGTCTTTGAATTAAATCATAAGTATTTGAGTTTGGGCATTTAAATTATATAAAATATTTTAAATGTTCAAATAATCTTAAACTAAAATGTTCCATGTTGTTTATATTCTAAACAGTGGGCATGAGCAGTTTGGGGATTTTTGGAGTTGTTTAGGTATTTTTAGTAAGTCCACAAAGTTACAGAATAAATAGAAAAGAGAAATAAAAAGAGAGAGAGGGAACTAACCTGGTAGCCCGCTAGCCAGCCCACCTAGCCGGCCCAGCCCAGCAGCCGCTCCAGCGAGCTGCTTGCCTTCGCCAGGCAGGCAGGCAGGTGCTCGACAGCGGCACCAGCGCGCGCCACGCAGCTGCCCGTCGCCCTGCTTCCTCCCCTCGCCTCTCTCCTGGCCGGTACGACCTCCACATCGCGCTCCGAACCCCGTGGACACATCCATTCTCCCCCCGCCTCTCTCCCTCGCTCTCCCGCTCCATGGCCGACGCCACCGCAGCCGCACCGTCGCTGTAGTCGCGCTCTCCATTGCCCCTGCGCCGTGCCGACATGTCCAGGAGCTCCGCCGCCCTCCTCTTCTTTGATCTAGCCGAGCCCCGAGCGCTCGCTTGCCCCGAGGCCTCTGCACCGACCTCACCCGACTCCGCCATCGCCGGAGATCCCCTTCGCCGTCACCACCGCACCAGCTCGTCCCCGACCGCGCCGTCTGCTTCCTCTAGACCGCCGTGAGCCTAGCTACCTCCTCCCCCTTTCCTTTCTAGCTCTCGTGCATCACAGCGAGCACACGAAGCTTCACCGCACGCGCCGCCGCCGAGCTCGTCGCCGACGTGTGTCAGGCCACCCACTGGCCACACCACCCTGTCCAACACACTCACGGCATCCCCAGAAGCCCAACGCACCTCACCACGAGCCCCACCGTGTCCCGTAGCCTCGGGTTCATCCTCACCCGAACTCCGGCGACCGCCAAAGTCGTCGCCGGCGACGTTTCCGGCCACCCCGAGCTCAACCACCACCACCAAGAGCTGCGGCTTGCTCCCAGCTACGCGTAGATGCCCTCTGCCGCTCATTTGGTCGCCAGAACGCACAAATGCACTCTCGCCGCCGCGTTCGGCCTCGCCGGCGGCTAAACGCCGGTGAGTAGACCCCGCTGACCCTCGTTTGACCACGGGTGGGCCCAGTTTGACCGCCCTGGGTCAACGACAGGTGGGGCCCAACCCTGTTAACAAATTAGGATTAGTATTAAATAATAATTAGTTAAACTAATTACACTGACACACGGGACCCACTAGTCAGGTTTGACCTGGACTGTTCTGTTGACCACTAACGTCATCCTGACGTAATGCTGACATAATAATTTATTTACTGGAATTATTTTTATACAGGAAATTCCAGGAAATACCACAAACTTCAAAAAATTATAGAAATTAATCTGTAGCTCCAAATGCAAAGTGTTATATATGAAAAATGATCAGAAAAATCCAATCTATCCATCTGTACTAGTTTCATGCATGTTTAAACAATTTAACCTGCTGTTTAGTACAGAACAAGATAAAGCACTTATAAGGGCCATTTATGAGTTTGAAACTTGAATCTTTGATTCAAAATGGTTCAAACCCATCTGGTCTTAGTTGCATTAGCCCAATACACTCATTTTGCCATGTCTCATGCATGCATCATATTGTTTGGTGATGTTGTGTATCGGTGCTCTTTGTGGCAGGATCTGCCCCCGAGGAGTACCACAATTACCCTAACGAAGAACAATATCAGTGCATCGACCCATCAGGCAAGCAACCAACCATTTGATCATATCGATACAATCCCATGTTCTCACTTCTACTCTCTTTTACTGCATTAAGACAATGCATTTCAAACTGCTGTGTGCTACGGTAGTTGAACCCATTTCCTCTGCATGACCTGTCATTGCCACAGTAACTAGATGAAACCCACTAGCATGTGTAGGAGTTGATTGAGCCGTATGTATGTGTTGTTCCTACCTTGCTATGCCTGCTATGCTTAGAGTCGTGTTAGGTCTGGTTCATCTGGGTGATGGGCTAGAGTGAAATGATTATGCCGGTAATGAGAGTGATGTGTTGAACACAATTTGGTAAAGGTATCGATGAGAGGCCATGTAGGAGTACATGGTGGGTTGTTTCATTGAAGCCGACCTTAAGCACTGAGATCTGTATGTGTGATTTAAGATTCAGCTACTACCATGCATTGGGCCCTGAAATATGACCCCGCTCGACTTCTTATCCACCCTAGTCCTCTGTCCAGGAGTTGCAAGTAGTTTCTGGTGTTTGTAGCTTACTGGAGGCCGTGGACAGCGCTGACCCGCGGGGTGGGCTGTGATGCGGTAGGTACGTGGCCGAGTACACCGGGCACCCGTTAGGTGTCTCGGAACCCTGTACACATCGTTCGGGGCCGTATGTGGAAATCTTGGCCGGACTCCCTACGGATGGAACCTGAATAGGCGATAAACCTGGACTAGAGACTTAGGTGTTTAGGTAGGTCGTGGTCTACACCCACGTCGGCTTTCGCTTGAAGTCTGCCGATCACATGTCGTGTGCAGACGCTAAGTGGTGGAAACAAGTATGAAGAAGTACACCCCTGCAGGGTTATCATTATCTATTCGAATAGCCGCATCCACGGTAAAGGACTACTTGGTTGCCTATACAGTTCATAGACAAGTAAATGGATACTACTAAAAATCTCAAGATAAGCGTGAGTGCCGAGGATGGCTCTTCCGTAGGAAGACGGAGGTGGATCCTCGGTGGTGTATTGAAGTGGTGAGTAGTGGACACGAGTGCGCAAAACCATTTCAAGTTGGTGTCTCGTAGGATAGCTTAGCCAAGAGTCAAAGCTGGCTTACTGCAATAACCCCACCAACCCTTCTTGATAATGTGCATGTATGTAGGATCTGATGTAAGTCTTGCTGAGTACCTTTGTACTCATGTTGCTTTAATTAACATTTTACAGAAGACGCTGCAACCCCTTCTGACGGGTTCTTCGTAGACGTTGACATCGATGAGTATACTGAGGCCCAGGTGGTGATCCTGAGCTTATGAAGGACCATGTAGTATAGCCAGGCTTCTCCAAGCCTCTTTTATTTTACTAGATGTCTGTACTCAGACAAGTTAATTCCGCTGTTGGCTTGTATGCTTGTATGACTTGAATGTGGGTCGTGTGACCCGTACTTGTGTGTATGCCATGTATGGCTCTCTGAGCCTTTAAATAAAAGTACTTGTGTTGTAGAGTCATGTTGTGATGCCTTGTTGTAATTGCACATATCGAGCATATTGTGTGTATGATTGAAATGCTTGGTATGTGTGGGATCTGACTATCTAGTTGTTTATTCTTAGTAGCCTCTCTTACCGGGAAATGTCTCCTAGTGCTTCCATTGAGCCATGGTAGCTCGCTACTGCTCCGGAACACTTAGGCTGGCCAGCATGTGTCCTTCTTCGTTCCTGTGTCTGTCCCTTCGGGGAAATGTCACGCGATGAATACCGGAGTCCTGTTAGCCCGCTACAGCCCGGTTTACCGGATCCTGCTAGCCCAGTGCTACAGCCCGGATTCACTTGCTGATGACCGACACGTTCGATGCTGGGTCATGGATGCTTGTCCCTGTAAGTCTGTGCCACTTTGGGTTTACGACTAGCCATGTCA